TTTTGAGTCAGAAATTTGTTATCAACCTCCGTACCCTACCTCGGAAAAGCAAAAAACTTTATATTCGAACGTTTGCTCAGGTGTACCGAATTCTGGCAGTTTGGAAACGTGCAACACTTTTAAAATTTTCATCCAACTTCACTAACTTCAAATTTTTTTCTACTTTTTTAAGAAACAAAAATTTTTCTGCTAGTGAATCTGGTGGCATGATTTTAGTTAAATGTCATAAACTTGTTAAAAGTGAAGTGGTCGGCAACAACAACAAATGTCAATGCCTTCTGCTTTCACAGCTTTACGTGTTCATTTCTCAAAATATTGCCCTCCGACTAAGCAAAAGTGCCATACTTTCAGCTAATATAGCCATTTTGCGGGACAAAAAGCAACCTACTGAAAATGATCCAATATTTATAAGAAGGTAAAATTGTTTAATAGAAAAGAAAATGCCATAAGTTTGTAATTTATCTCTGTTTTTATATTTAAGTAATACAAACATTACTTCTGATGTAAAGCTTAGCTACGTATAACGACAGTTTCCTTTGTTAAACAAAAATAAAGTGGTGTACAGCTTAGCTACGTATAAATAATCTTTATTAACCAAAAAAAAATCAATGGATTTACTAGCCTTTCTAATTGTAGTTTATGTATTTAAAAAAAATTGAATTCTGGTTGAAACATTTTAGCCGTTTTTAGCCGTTTTTTTTGTCCAATCTAGCCGGTCGCCCTGAAAAGTTCTGGCAACACTGCTTACATACGGCTGTCCCTTAGGTTACCACAACGTATTGAACGGCAACCACCTCTAGCGAAATGCGTTATGTCCCCAGCACGAGGTATCGCAGTTGGCTAATGTCAGTTTCTGAGGGATTCTCACGGCTGCTTAGAGAGTGCGATGTTAGATTTTTAGACGACATACTGTTAAAAACTGACAAACTTAAGAAAAAAATGTTGAGATGATTCCATCTCATCATTCTCTAAACAGGTGGGACATTGAGGCTCAGATATGAGATTCAGTCTCAGCGCATGAATTCCTAACAGACAGTGCCTTACAGTGTTGGCAACCATGGGCTTTTCCTACCAAAACTGGTAGGGTTTTTTCCATTTGGTAGGTTGGTAGGCTAGATTGGATTTTGGTAGGTTTAGCGACAATAATAGTTAGTTGAGAAAAATATAAAATATGTATCTCCAAACATTTTAACAACCTTGTTTACATGACTATTTCACCGGTGGAGTCCACCATTGTCCATCTGATAGAAACTTCATTGTGAGACTTGAGGAATATCACCAAAACTAACCTATTGGTATTTGAATATGGTAGTAGGACCCATTGTCACATATGCAGCACTGGCCTGGTGACCAAAAGCTACGCAAGTAAAGGCGTGTGCCACCTTTAGCAAGCTGCACCGACTGGTCCGCGTAGCCATTACAGGAGCTATGGGCACTAGTCCAACGGATGCCCTTGGTGTCATTACAGGCATTCCTCTTTTGTCTATTCTGTTTAAAAAAGAGGCCTGCTAGAGCGCCCTACGACTGCCCAATATGATCAGCAAGAAAGTTTGGGATCTTCGGGATCATTTGGAGGTTGTAAAGCCATTCCATGATAATCCCGAGTTATCCTTCTACAAACCCTACAAGGTCAGAATTCCTGAAAGGGACTGCTGTAAAGCGATAATAACTATGATTGACGAAAGGTCCCAAGTTGATATTCAGACGGATCAGACGACGAGACTACTGGGGCAGGCGTATTTGGGCCAAAATTTCAGAAAGTCTGCGAATTACACATACTCAACTATATTCCAGGGGAAAGTATTCGCAATCGAAGTTTGTGTAGAAGGACAAATGGGGCCAAATTAGATATTATGTCGGACAGTCAGGCAGGTTCAAGGCCTTAAACTCTTATAAAACGGCAGCAGGTTTTTGGAAAGCTGTAGAACTTTTTTGAACCACTTGGATGCTCACAGTAATGTAACGCTGTGGTGGTTATAATAATAATAATATGTATTTGTAAAGAGACAAACATTTGTGTACGTCTGTACAGTAAAATGAATTGCTATACGTAGTTATTTTTTTTTTATTTAACTAGCTGTGTTTTAATTTTTCTACATGCTATGTTATCTACGTTTTTAATAAGCTTGACATTAAAAAAATTTCGGTAGGTTTTGATTGATTTTGGTAGGAAGTTTTGGTAGGAAAAAAATGTGTCCGTGGCAACACTGGTGCCTTATCAAAATACGCACCAAGTTGTGGCAACCAAGTCGACTGATCCCTTAATTTTATCTACATCTGTCCGAAATAAACGCTATAGTGGTCCCGAAGAGTATGTAAACAGGAGGTCTTTAATTTTACCACTCCCCCAATAATTCCTTCATTGTCTTTCACTACCATTAGCTGACTAACTTTCATAGTGTTGTCCATGTTGTATGAGTAACCTAAGAGAACTCCTCACTTAATTTCTGAAGTGAAACCTCTTTGCGCTTCTTTGGCTCTACAACCATTCATCGGTTTGGGTCGAGTCCAAAAAACTTCGCCAATTATGGCTCTCCTTGTCGGGGTCGAAGGATCTATTCACCGGATCCTCGTCATCCATGCATACAATATACGTAGCGCTGAATTTTAATGCGGTTAACTATGACCATCTCTATAAAAATCTCGTACAGTTCGTCCTTCCATCTTCTTCGGTACTCGTCGCCTACGCGAACAGAATAGTTCTCTGTAAAGCCCCCAAAGTCTTCTCATCTTTATTCGTCCACGTTTCCGCGGCATATAAAATAGCGGGCATGATGAGAGATTTGTAGAGTGTAAATTTTGTTTGTCGAGAAAGGGCTCTACTATTCAATTGCCTACCGAGCTCAAAGTAGCACATTTCGGAGCACAAGAGCTACTTTCGCTAGATCTTCAGGATGACAGAGTTGATGTTGTTTATGCTGGTAGACAAGCTTCTTCATTGCTTCAAAATTATAACTGTCAACATAGAAGTGTGTCACAAAACCTGAGGACTTTTTGTGTGTTGCCAGGAGGTACTTTGTCTTGTCCATGTTCACCGCATAACCAACCCTATTAGTTTCCTTTTCTAAGCTGGAATATGCTGATCTTATGTCCCTCAGTTTCGGGCCGACGATATCAGTATCATTAGCATACGCCAGCATCATCGTGCTGCTGTCATACGGGTATATGGTGGCGACGCGATTCAGATTGGCAGCTCGTTTTATGCTTTCCAGCGTCAATTTGAAAAAGGCGCACGAGAGTGAACCTCCTTGTCTAAACCTCGATTGGTCTCAAACGGCGCGGAGAGGTCCTTCCCAATTTGAACGGAGCTGAAGGTTGTATTCAACGGTACTCACCATAGCCGTTTTAGTTTCGCGGGGATACAAAATTTAGATATGGCGTCGTACAGCCAGCGTCACTTCATGCTATAAAAAGCGGCTTTAAATCGACAAAAAGACGGTGTGTGTCGATTTGTTTAACTAGTGTCATTTCCAGGATTAAATGAACTGTGAAAATCTTGTCCATAGTGGACTTACCAGGTCTGAAGCCCACAGTTGGTTCGGGAAGATCTTTCAGTATCGTCGACAGGGACGCAATATTAAGAAGGCTTATTCCGCGATAACTTCTTAAAGACAAACTTGCTTAGGAGCTGGTAGATGGGCAGCTATATGGCCGACATCTTTTCAGGCTTCCCTGCTCTTTTGGATTAACGAAATCAGGTTCTCTGGTGTTACGCACAAACCAAGCTTGCGGTTAACTGCGTACCTCATGGAGCTAAAACGGGGCACTTGAAGAATACGTGCTCTGGGTCTGCGGTAACTGCTGGTCTGCATTGCTCGCAGTAAGGGTTTGGTGTGAGTCCAAGGCGTTGTAGGTATGCTTTAAAACAGCGACGCCCACTGGTGATTTGAGTCAGGTAGTAATCTACCTCTCCATGCTGCCTATTAACCCTGGTTTCAATTTTAGGTCTTAAAACCATTTGATTTCTGCTTTGTTTTCTGATAGAATTTTCGAGCCTCATTAGAGCCTGTTAGTATCTCGAGCTCTTCACACTCACGCCTTTCTGCCGCCCTTTCTTCCTCTTGAGGAGTCGTCTCTCTTCCCCAGTTTTTTCCCGGTGTCGCTCATTTGTCTCGCTTATCGCCATTGGCTGCAGGATAGCTTTGTATGCTGCATATTTTTCAACCGTAGCAGCGCGGCACTCTTCGACTACAACTCCACAACAAGCACGTTCTTGATTGCACAGATTCCCATGCGGGTCGTGGATGCGAGTCGATGTTGGATAGTGCGCACGCCTAGAACGCTCGAAGAATACATATCTTCTGTCTATCACAACATGATCAATTTGGTTCTTCGTTCTTTGATCAGGGAACACCCACCAAGTGGCTTTATGGATGCTTCGATGCTGGTGTCTGGTACTACTAACTACTATGTTTCGTGCCGCGGCGAAGTCGATAAGGCGGTCTCTGTTGTCAGAGGTATTGTCATGATGCCTATATTTTTCTACTGTTGGATCAAATATGCCTTTTTTTCTCACCTTGGCGTAGAAGTCGCCAAGCACGATTTTAAAATCGCGGCAGGAGCAGAGTTCATAGCTGGTTATATAAACTCTTTAGTCTCATCGTCCTTCGATTCGGTCGAGGCGTGCACCTTTAGGCTGATGTTGTTACATTTTTCCTTTATGCGGATTTTGGCCTCAGGTGAAAGAAAGCTAGTTTCGACCTGGGTAGAAGAGGAATGATCGTACCCGTTTTCCAGATATTTTTTGAAACAACTTTGTTTAGCGATCATTGATCTTTAGATAAGGCGGTTTTAAAATTCAAACAAGGAAAAAATCCAACTCCACATTACAAGATCCTAAACATTAATTAGCATTTTTTCCAAGGTGGCAGCACCATAAACTACAGCTGTTCCGATTGCCAACATGCACATCTATTGATCTCTTTCGCGCACACACATTGCAGAGGGCAATAAATATCTGAAGAATGGTACTCTTTTACCTTTGTGGAGAAAACTGTGAATGAAGAAGTTTTCCACTTTTTCGATGAGTTCTTGAACGGGCGGCGGCACCAACGCCACCATTGATGCAAAATGGAAATAGGAAAAATAGAAAGTGCAATTGTAGCGGTAAATAGGTGTGGAACCGAATCGTGAGTGGAGCACAGAATAGAAAAGAACAAAGATTCGGGAATTTCGGTATTTATTGTTTATTTGGCGTTAGTGCTGGAGAAGAGAAAACTGCACAAAGTGGATTTGGATGTTTGCGCATGGAAGAAAAAGTGCTGAACAGTGGCTAGGAATTGTGTGCACAAATAAATGCCACTGGCAAAATATATTGAAGGAATTGACATGGACAAGCAGAGGAACCCAATAGCAAGAAACATTTAGCGGAGCGTAGGGTGACGGAACTCAAGCAAGTGTGTGCGAAAAGAAAGTTGAGGAGAAGCGCGGCGTGCATGCGTTTGCTTTGCATAGCATTAGTGTTTTATTTTTGGATAATATAAAAATATAAAAAGAAAAGTCACAAAATACCAAATATCGAGAGCATTATTAGGCTAAATAGCACATTTACTTGGTCGTTTGCGATGTTGCTGGCAAAAGAAGATTAGGGCTAGGCAACGAACTTATAGAAAAATGAACTGAACTAGCAAATGCCACGGTTTTAAATGAGTAAGTTTGATAAATGATTTGCTGGTAGATATTGAAAGAAAAGCTCATTGAAAAAGTGAAAAAAGCAGTGAATACGAAATGGAAAACGAGAAGTTACGCATCACACTAAGCAACCCGGAAAAGGTGTATTCTGCGGGTGAAACAATAAAAGGCGAAATTTGGTTAAATCTAGCCAAGCGCACAAAAATACGGGGTGAGTACAATTTTGGGAAATTATTTTTGCATCAAAATAGTAGAACTTTAACTGAAAGTATATAACTATTATTTTTATATGCATTCATATACAGTATAGAAATACATTTTTACTTCTATAAACATATATGTATGTACATGTGTATGTATTTAGATATGTGCATACATATGCACTCGCTTTGTAATCGAGTAAGAAATCTCCTTCACTGGTCCAAGTTTCGTAGAAATCTTGAATCATTTACACTTTAGTAATGTACTAATGTGTGTTCGTTTTACTCAGTCGCTTCAACTCTTTCTTTTAAAGCTTCTTTTGTGGTGCATATTTGCATTGGTTCGCTTCTGTTTTGTGAGTTTCACAGCCAATTCATTATGACGAGTGGAGAACAAAGAACTGCCATGGATCCAATAAAAGCGCAATGACGGTTTTGTAGCTTCCACTTTCATTTCACATTTCGTTGAAATAAGATACTCAAATCGAGTTGAAAGTCAAAATATTTGCAGACAATTGTTAAGGTTATTTTAGTTGAATAAATTTGATTACAATTTTTTAAAGTTTTGCTTTCTTCATTGTTGTTGTACGTTGCAATTGCTCTTTTGTTTTGTTTATTTTGTTGCCCTCGATAACGTCATTTATAACTCTTCAGCTACGTCAATTTGTATTTTTTTTTGTTTTGATTTTACTGTGAATGATCGCTCCCGGCAAGAAGCAGCGGCTGACAGGTGTATTTTTTGTTGTTTTGTGAAGCAATGTCACCAGCGTTGCCGCTTTGGTAATTTTTAACCAAAATTGGTAATTTTTTTCTTTATTTATCAAGTTTGGTAATTTG